TAATCCTGAAGCTGAGCACCCAATATCGCAGCGGAGGAAATTGCACCTGTGCCACGAGAGCTGCACGGCCCAGAGTGTTCGCTGCAAAATCTCTGTGGGCGGTGGCATCGAGCACAAGAAAGACACAAGAATTGAAGACGGCAGGTGCAATCGGCTAAGCGGGATATCGGCATTCACCGCATTACAGGCTGCATTACGCGCACCATCTCTACATGATTTGGAAACTGATGAAACGCGTGGCCGTGGCCCAACGAACCCCTGTGTTGAATAAACGCCCAAACTGCGGCACATTACGGAATACTATAGAAGAGGGCCTGGACCATAGTACCATAGTAAGCACGCCATGTTCCCTCCAGTCGAAGCGCTGCACACACACACACACACACACACACACATGGATGCGAGCGGCACGAACAATCCTGAAGCTAAGCACCCAATATCGCAGCGGAAGAAATTGCACCTGGGCCAGGAACGATGCACAACACACATGTCAACGTTGGCATCGAGCGCAAGACAGACGCCATAATCTTAGAAGTCCAATGAAATCGGCTGCACGGGAAATATGCATTGCGGGCTGCTTTATGCGCACTGCATCCACATGCTTTGAAATCTGATGAGGCGCGTGGCGTTGCGGCAGCGCACCCCTGGTGAATAAGCGCCCAGAATGCGGCGTATCCAGGAATACTACAAAAGGGATCACGGTAGCATGTAAAGGCACCATGTTGCCTCAAGTAGAAACGCCGCGCACACATGGATGCGAGCGGCGCGAATAATCCTGAAGCTCAGCACCCAATATCGCAGCGGAGGAAATTGCACCTGTGCCACGAGAGCTGCACGGCCCAGAGTGTTCGCTGCAAAATCTCTGTGGGCGGTGGCATTGGGAACAACAAACACACACACACACAATACAAAAAATTGAAGACGGCAAGTGTAGCCGGCTAAGCTGGATATCGACATTCACCGCATTGCAAGCTGCATTATGCGCACTATCTCTACATGATTTGGAAACTGATGCGGCGCGTGGCAGAGGCCCAACGAACCCCTGTGTTGAATCAACGGCCAAACTGCGGCGTATTACGGAATACTACAGAAGAGGGCCTGGACCATAGTACCATAGTAAGCACGCCATGTTGCCTCTAGTAGAGGCGCTGCACACAAACACACACACACACACACACGGATGCGAGCGGCACGAACAATCCTGAAGCTGAGCACCCAATATCGCAGCGGAGGCAATTGCACCTGTGCCACGAACGATGCTCAAGACAAATGAGAACATTGGCATCGAGCCCAAGACAGACGCAATAAATTTAGAAGTCCAATGAAATCGGCTGCACGGGAAATCAGCATTGCAGGCTGCATTATGCGCACTGCATCCACATGCTTTGAAATCTGATGACGCGCGTGGCGTTACGCCAGCGCACCCCTGGTGAATAAGCGCCCAGAATGCGGCGTATCCAGGAATACTACAGAAGGGGGTGGATCACGGTAGCATGTTAACGCACCATGTTGCCTCAAGTAGAAACGCCGCGCACACATGGATGCGAGCGGCGCGAATAATCCTGAAGCTAAGCGCCCAATATCGCAGCGGAGGAAATTGCACCTGTGCCACGAGAGCTGCACGGCCCAGAGTGTTCGCTGCAAAATCTCTGTGGGCGGTGGCATTGGGAACAAAACACACACACACACACACAATACAAAAAATGAAGACGGCAAGTGTAGCCGGCTAAGCAGGATATCGACATTCACCGCATTGCAGGCTGCATTACGCACAATATCTCTACATATATATATATATATGGCTTGGAAGCTGATGAGGCGCGTGGCTTTGGTCCAACGAACCCCTGTGTTGAACAAACGCCCAAACTGCGGCACATTACGGAATACTATAGAAGAGGGCCTGGACCATAGTACCATAGTAAGCACGCCATGTTGCCTCCAGTAGAAGCGCTGCACACACATGGATGCGAGCGTCGCGAATAATCCTGAAGCTAAGCACCCAATATCGCAGCGGAGGAAATTGCACCTGTGCCACGAAAGATGCACGGCCCAGAGCGTTCGCTGCAGAATGAATGTGGGCGTAGGCACCGAGCGCAGGGTAGACGCCTGAATTACAAAGGCCCGCCGACGCCTTGGGGTCACTAGGCGTGTGAGACTGCCGCCTCCCCCCACTCCTCCCTGGGGAAAACCGTCCGGCTGGTTCTTGTTGGACGCCCGGAATGGGTACGGAAAACATGGATACAATACCCAACAACAAATGTTGTCCCAAACCAAGAGCGGCCGCTGTTGCGCGGGCGGCCTTCTGTCCCAAATGGACACAGGCCGCGGCGGCGCGGACAGCGAGTCCTGTTCAAAATGAACAAGAACTGCTGTTGGGCATCGTACCCATTCTTTCCGTGCCCAGTTCGTTCGTACCGAGTTGGGAGGGGTGGGGGTTGGGGGACACAAGAGCCGGCGGTACAGGCGGCCCGGGCCCTGCCACCAGACGGAATCCCACGGCTTCGACATGGATTCTGGAGCCTCTAAGGTGCCTCGCCATGTTCTCCGCGCGGCCCCAGATGGCCCCAAGAAGTCCAGGTGAGGTCCCAGAACAGTCTTGGAGACCTCGAAGATGTCTTCGGGAAACTTTATGACGACCCTGACGAAGGCCCCGACAAGGGAAAATTTGCCCCTTTCCTTCCGAAAACTGCAAATGTCATCATACTCATATCTTTGCTGTTCGAAGCGTCCCAGACTGCCTCAGAGGCCTTCAAGATCGACCCAAAACGGGCCAAGTGCCCTAGAGGGCCCCAAGACGGTTGCAGACGGCCCCAGGGAGGCTCAAGAGGCGCCAAACACATCCCAAGAAGACACCAAGAGGGGTCCACAACAGCCTCGGATGGCCCCAAGACGGCCCAAGAGGGGCCCACAACAGCCCAAGATGGCCCCAAGACGGCCCAAGAGGCGCCTAAGACGGCCCAGGAGGGCCCCGAGGGGCTCCCCCCCAGAAGCCCCCCCAAAGAGGCCCTAACGAGCCCGCTGCCGAATGGCCCCCAAGCGGCTTCAAACTGCCTACAAGAAGAGCTGACTGGACGAGAGGCGAGAGGCTCCTCGCATGCGTAGAAGGGCCGTTCTCCACCGTCCATGGGCCCTGGATGCCTGTCCTCTGAGCGGCGTTGTCGTAGGATCGACGATTGGCGATCGAAGGTCGATGGGATAACACGAGAACACGATGAACGCCTCAATCATTGGGCCAACGAAACGGGAAAACACCTTGGCCGGAGGAGTCGGAGGGCGGGGGTGAGGGAGCGCGGAAGAAGGGGAAAGGAGAGGAGGAGAAGGACGAGGAGAAGACAAAGGAGGAAAGGGAGGAGAAAAGCAACACATAGGGAGAGGAGGGGAAGGACGAGGAGAAGAAAAATGAGGAGAGAGGGAAAAAAGAGGAAAGAGGGAGAAGAGGATGATCGACTACCGATGAACAGGTATGATCTCGGCATCCGCGGGCCCGGGGTCGGCGGTGTGACGTAAACCAGTGAATCAAGTGCAAGTGCGCTGGAACTCGGCACTCACCGCACTGCAGACTGCATTACGCACAAGATCTATATATATATATATATGACTTGGAAACTGATGAGGCGCGTGGCTTTGGTCCAACGAACCCCGGAATAAACGCCCAAACTGCGGCGAATGACGGAATACTAAAGAAGGCCTGGACCATAGTACCATAGTAAGCCCGCCATGGTGCCTCAAGTAGAAACGCCGCGCACACATGGATGCAAGCGGCACGAATAATCCTGAAACTACGCACACAATATCGCAACGGAGGAGATTGCACCTGCGCCACGAAAGATGCAAGCCCCTGAGCGTTCGCAGCAAGAGTGATGTCAGCGCTGGCATCGGCCGCGAGACAGTCATACGATTCGGAGACGTCCAGTGCAGCCGGTTGCGCAGCAAATCTGCATTCACAGCATTGCAGGCCGCATTACGCGCACTGCTTCTACATGATTTGGAGACTGATGAGGCGCTTGACGTTGCGCCACCAAACCGCGGTATTGAATAACCTGACTACGGCGCGTTACGCGTTGATGCGCTCACCATGCCAACTCAAGGGGAAGAGCCGTGCACACTGAGATATGATCGGCGCGAATATTTACTAGAACAGAGCGCTCCATCGAAGCATTGGAAATTACAACTGCGCCACGACTGAGCATTTGCCCAAGACGGTTGCTGCATGGTTGACGATGCCAGCACCAACATCAAGCGCGCAACGGACGCGCCATCTAGATAGATCAAGTGCATTCCGTGGCCAAGAACAGTTGCAAAAGACACTGCGTCTGTATTTCCGTCGGTAGCACAAGAGAATGCTTCGTGAAGGCAACATGTTGGCTCAGAAACACAACTTCCGGGCACCCCAAGTCAACTGGACCGCTCTCGAAACCCTGAATCACCGAAAGATGGCATCTCTGCAGCATAAAGATAAGCTTTGGGCGGTCCGCGCACGTTTCTTGGGTCTGACCTGGACCCCCTCCCTGGCGTGCAGAACGCGACGCGGCGCCGAAGGCGCCGCCAGGGGCCCCAGCGCAGACCCAAGAAATCCGCGCGGAGCGCCAACAGTTATGCTTATGCCTTTCTTGGTTCTTCAAGACATGATATCGGCCGCTGCCCTGGGGAAGTGTTCGCCCCACGCCCGTGCCCACACGTCTGAGGGAGGAACATGCGCCGGGGTGGAAAGCTTGGGCATCGCTTGATGGGGGGGCGATGGATGGGGAGGGAGAAGAGTGCACCTCTCGGCCTCCAGGGCCCCTTCTGGGGCCCAGCAGGGCTCCTTTTCTGCAGCCCTCGCTGCCCCCCCCATGCATCGCCCCCCCCTTTCACGACGCCCAACTCCCGAGGGAAGAACATGTGCTGGGGCTGGAGGCGTCCGTCGCGCAGCGTCCGGGTGGCGGAGCAAGGCGGCATCAGGGGGGGTGGCAGGGGCGGGAGAGCACGGCGAGGGGGCGGCGGCCAACGGTGCGCCATGCCTCCGCGCGGGCCTTCTCCCGCCTCTCCGTCCTGTCGCTCTCCTCCTTCGCCTGCGCAAGGGGCGGGGCCACGAGCGACGGGCACTTTCACAGATCCACGTCCAGGCCCTCGCACTCTGGACACCGATGGTGACTACCTACCAGACCACCCCAACCCAACCCGAAGGCACGAATTTGACCCGAATTTCGGGTTGGGGGGGGTTCGGGGACCATGTGTTTTTCCGGTGTTCCCCGATCCCCCCCCCACTGGAAATGGAGGGCAAATTGAGGCCTTCGGGTTGGGTTGGGGTGGTTTGGTGGGTGGTGAGATGGGGGAACGAGGAGTGGTATAAACATAAATACTCGGAGGTCCGCGCGGATTTCTCGGATCGGCGCTGGACCACCCTCCATGGCGCGCGGAGCGCACCAGGGGCGGCGCCGGAGGCGCCGCATGGGGGGTCCAGCGAGGATCCAAGAAATCAGCGCGAACCTCCGAGTTTTATGCTTACGTCATTCCTCGATTCCCTAACCGAAGAGCGATCTCAATGGGTGCGGCGCGGTCCCGTGGATGCTCCCCGCGCGGAGAGCGCGCGCGCACCGCTGAGCTGTATCCGTGGGGTCGCGGCCCAGAAGTCCAGACCGAGAGGCCATGAATCTGGTGATGTTTCCCGCCCACGAAGGGGGGGCAGGGAGAGGAAGGGTTAGAGCGGTTCCTCCTCCTCCTCCCTCTCCATTCCTTCTCCTTCAAAACTCGCCGGCCCAACGGGCCAGAGGCGTGCTAAGATCTCCGGTAACTACTTCACAATATTTCTAGTTTGCGCGCGCGGGGCGGCCCCTGGGGGGCCCCGGACGAAAAGTACCCTGGCCGATCCCCGGCCGGGTCCCGGGCGATCCCCAGGGGGGAGGCTATTTTTCGCCACCCCTCACGAGGATCGTGGCCTCCGAGGGGGGGGCTGCAATCGACTACCCCCCCTCCCGCCCCAAGGGGCCCCCAAGAGCCTATAAGGGAGCCCAATACGCCGCCAAGGAGCCCCAAGATGCTCCCGAGAAGCCCCCAAGAAGCCCCCAAGACGGCCCCAAGAGGCCCCAAATAGCGCTCCAGGGCCGGCGGAATGAGCGAAGCGATCAAATAATTTCTCCCTGTCGCACCCCGAGGCCAGTTTTTAGGGCGAGCTAGGCGTTTCGCATGAGACTTCCTCACCATCTATGACTCTGAAGCTAAAAACTGGCAACAACTTCGCAGATTGAGGGCGGGTGGTTTTCAAAAGGTAGCTTTCGCACTAGCGCGGCGCAAATTCGTTTTCAACATTTGCAAGAGTTTCACGGATTGAGGGCGGGTCGTCTTCAAAATGTGGCTCTCGCACTAGCGCGGCGCACATTCGTTTTTTTAATATACAAAAGTTTCACTGATTGAAATCGGGTGGTTTTCAGAATGTTGCTCTCGCCTTAGCGCCGCGCATATTCGTTATACATATGTGCAAGAGCTTCACGAATTGAGGGCGAGTGGTTTTAAAAATGTGGCTCTCGCCTCAGCGCGGCGCACATTCGTTTCAAACAGTTGCAAGAGTTTTACGGATTGAGGGCGAGTCGCTTTCAAAATGTGGCTCTCGCGTTAGCGCGGCGCACATTCGTTCTATTAGAACCACGCGCGCGTTTCGCGCGCGCTCAGGTTCTACCCGCGTCCAAGGAACTCGCATCGCGAGTTGCCAATGAGGCATAAATAGGCGATTATGGAGCTTCTTTGGGGGTGATAATGGGACCTGCGGCAATTAAATTTGGGGGTCCCAGCGACGTGTAGTGGAGACGTGAGGGCTTCTTCTACACATCTTGCGCTTCTCTCGATCCGCCCTGGGACCGGAGGATGAACTGAGCAAAGAAGGGCGCCCGAGTCTGGCTCCGTAGCACACGCCACCAGGGCCGAGCCAGGGTGCAGCGAAGGCCGCCCCGCCCTCCGCGCCACGCATCTGGGGCCATACCACTACGCAACGAAGGCCAGGAACCCCCTCCAGGTTGCACCGGCAGGGCATGAAGTTCGATGACTTTGGTTTCTCGAGGGCATTATTAAAGAGCTCACTGGCGACTGCCAGCCGTCTTTGGGCCGTCTTGGAGCCTCCCGAAAGCATGCTGCATATGCGGTATTCAGAGTATTTGGGGCCGTTTGGGAGCCGTCTTGGGGGCTTCCTGGGCCATCATGGAAACCTCTTTGGGCCGTACTGGGACCGTCGTGGTACCATCTTGGGCCTTTTTGTATAGCCAACGGATCACACGCTTATGTCGGTTGGTCCCATCGCGTGGCTCCGGCCTCTGACCTGAAGCCTGGTAGCTGCCGCAGCAGCCACGCAGTCTTGAACAGCCACCAATAATTCGGCGGCAGCTGCTGATCCTGCACCGCGTCCATCAGCACATGTTCAGATGCGACGTTGCGAAACAACCAACATATCCTTTCCAAGATTTGCATGCCTCGCTAATAAAATCCGGTTCGCCCCTCACGCGAATCGTGCCCCGGAAGGAGCTCCACCTGTGGAACCCATGTGCAACTTCGCATGGCGTCCCCCCGCCCATTTCGGCACCTGCCTCACACGGGCGGTGCCCCACACTTGGATCGGCGGGGCGTTTGCTATCTAGGATGGGTGGTTAGATCTTGGATAGGGTAGTTATAAGAAGATGCTATCCACTTTCTGTAACCTAGATCGGGGGAGATGGCTATCCTCCAGATCGCCTACTTATATCGTGGTTAGCTAACTCGTTTAGCGATTGCTATCTTGGGGGGCTAACCTAGTTAGCTAAGTTCGCTAACCTAGTTAGCAATTTGTCTTTCTTTGATTTTTTATGTTGGGATTCTGATTTTGACTTTGCATTTCCAGGAATCCAAACGGCTGAACGCGGTGCTGAGGCTTCAGGGGGAGGCCTTGAATGCAGGATTTCTTGGCTAATAGGGAAGCAACTAGGGAGACAGAACGAGGATGTGGGCACAGAAAAGGAAGATGTAGAGACAAAAAAATACGGAAATGAAGAGGAGGATCAGTATAGGATTACGAAATTGTTGAGAATTGCTATTTGTATGTGCTGTTATTGTTTCGTTGTTTCTACATTTGTTTTTTTAGTTCCGTACCCCCCCACAGGGTCGCAGCGTCATCCAACACACCTTTGTTTCAGGCGTTGGGAAAAAAAGAACCAAGGATTCTGAGCCGACAGGCGCTTTGGAATAGATGCAAGGCTCGACTATGCTACTTGTCAAAACACAAACAGCGTTGGCCTGAACTATACACCTGGCCTCGGACTCCCCGAAATGCGTGCATCTCCAAATCGACACACACGTGCGCAATATGTTCGACATTTTGACATGAAACACTACTTGGCCAAAACAAAGACGTCCATCGTGGCGAAGGCACACTACGTCGCCAATGAGAACGGCCCTGCAATTGACAAGAACAGACTTAGATGTTATGACCTCCTGAGCGGGGTCTACATTGAAAATCTCACCCAGGGCCTCACGCAATTTCGCAGAAGCCTTCACGGGTGCCAGCATGTCCTCTTTTAGCAAACTGTAATGCGCCAGGTCGTACAGATGTTGTGCTGTTATTTCCTGCATCACGCTGCGATCGAAACCAACAGTGTTGTGGCGGTCGTTCATCATTCTTTTTGGGACTCTGTGTTTCCGCTCCATAAGAAAGCAACTGATTAAACATTTACGTGATTGAAACATCGGTGCCAAATGCAAAACCCAATGATCCTTAGGTTTGGAGAGGGTTGTTCCATACGCGGCCCGATGGGCCGCCAAGTGTTTCACGATCGCCACCCCGAGCTCGCTAGCCGTGTAGATCCTACTATTAATGACCATAAGCATGAACAGAACGTCGCACATCAATTTGCAACTTTCTGTTTCCGCAGGGCAAACGTTACGGGGTTCCACGATTTGAACAATGCATTGTTTCAACACGGGTGCCAACGATATGATGTTCGACGCGCTGCCCTTCAGAGAACCATGGCCCGTGCAAATGTATGCGTCCGCGTACCCCCTAGGCCACGCGAAACACTTCACGAAATCATCCAGGGCTTTCAGTCCCAAACGGTGTGCCTGCAAACGTTCAAGAAGTTCCGAAACCTCGCGCTGAACTGTGCCCCCCACGCAATAGCAATGCATCCAGTCCCACTGAACTACATCGGGCACGGGAACGTTGAGATCAAAATCTTGCGGCAGCGAATGTTCGTCGAAAATATATCCCAATAACATTTCTTGTCGTCTCAGCTCTTTGATGGTATCCTCCTCTCTAGTCCGTTTCAACTTTCGTTGGGTCCCCAGGAAGCTGGAGGCCGTGTGAACTCTCATTTTTCCAACGTCGATTTCCGAGCACGGAATAAGAAACCCCGTCGGGTCGGGCAAAAGGTTGGAAGAGTCCATTACAACGTTTTGACACAACATGCATGGTTTAATTCCTGTCGCCCCTTTTGCCATCAATGTATATTTGTGTCCACGCTCATCCTGGATGAGTATACTGAGCGAGCCGTGAACAAAAATGTGTTCACCTCCCAGGTCGAGTCTGACACCATCCCTGATGTCTGGCTTGCCTGGGGCCCCCATGAACATGCGAAGAGCGTGCTTCATCACAGCAGAAACTCCACCAGGCAGCTTATTGCACACACTAGATCGAATTGAGCAGATCGTCATCCACATTTGCTCGTTCGCCAACAGGGGCCACCATAATTCTTTCACAGACCAATACAGCGCCTGGGATTTGCGAAGGTTGACGTCCCCGAGAGGATTCCCAGGTGTAATCATCTGAATACAATATAATTGACATTGTACCGCCATGGCGCTGCTACGTCTCTTTGATCAGCTGGCAAAATTCGGGGGAAACTCTGGCACCAGCTTCCAAAAATCCAAGGGGGTGTTGCAGCCATACGTCAACTGGCCCAGTGTCAGCGTGGACAGAGACTTTCTGTAGCAAGGGTCCAAAACTTGTCATTTGTTCAGCAATGTTTTGTCGATGTCGAGCTTGAGTCCTGGCGCTGAAACACTCGGGGAGACCCATTTCTTTGATTTGCTGCATGAGCTTCTCCATTGCTGAATGTGAAACATGCGCGCGCCTGCCGAAATCAGAAAGACGTGGCCTCTTATGCGGTGGTGGCTCAGTCATCTTAGACTTGGGCCTCAGGAAACGCTACGATGGGATTGATGCGATGGTATGACGCTGCTGTTTTTGTCGTGATGTTGGTAACGATCCTGATGATCATGATGGCGGTGCTGATGACGATGCTGATCTTACGCGATCCCGCTGCATCTGACAACGGCTTGGGTGTTGGGGATGTTGTTTTGGATCGTGCAATTTGCATTGGCATTTTGGCAGTGCGACCTTTGAGGCCCTGGGCTTTGGGGCGCTGAGGGCGGGGCTTTGGGGCCAGTCTGCAGGGGGTGCCTTTGATGTTGAGGACTCGCGGTTCCTACGCCTACGTATGTTGGTGTTGGAATGGTGGACCTCAGAGCCTCACGAGGCATTTTGGGTCCAGCGCCCCGAGGGGAAGGGGCGAGAAGCGGAAGGTCAGCAGTAGAGGACGATGAGGATAATGGCGAGGATGAGAAGGATGTGCGCAGAGCCAAGACAGCTTCAGACCCAACGGCACCCGAAATGCTCTAGACCCTAGAGCCCCTATAGAGTGCAAACCTGTACCCCTAAGACCCTAAAGAGCCAAGACCATATACCCAGACCCAACGGCCCCTACAGACCCCTAAAGACCCCTAAAGGCCCCTAAAGACCCTAAAGACCCACAGACCCCCAACGGCCCCCAAAGACCTTCAAAGACCCTACAGAGCCAAGACCCTAAAGACTCCTAAAGACCCCATAAAGGCCCCTAAAGATCCTAAAGAGCCCCTGTATCGTGCCCCCTTCCTCTGGAGTTGTAATGTCTGGCGGCGTCACAATCGCATTCACATTGTGGTTCAACGAGCAATGTCCTCAACAGGTAAAGTGATCGAGTTGCGTGCTGCACGGGATAGCAACCCCATGCTCATCACAGACAGCACGCGAAACAGCAAACTGAGTGGACAGGCCCGCGTCAAGAGGATAAACGTGTGTCATGACACTCACAGCTCACGAGGCCATCCACAGAGAAGACGCCTCCTGGTACGCAAGCTTGACCATGTCTGTCTGGAACGCTGGCGACAAGCCCAACTGCTTAGAAACCGGTTTGGCCTTGCCATAAACCCAGCTCGCATAGGTGTTGCGGTCCCGATCGGCAATCGCAGCTTTCTTGAGAAACGGGCGCAGGTCTACAACCGCGGAGTTGATCGTGTAGATGCCTGCCAAAACGGCGAACTCAAACATGGGACCCACTCTTACAAAAAAAACGGGGGGAGTGGAGGATAAGGAGTGAGATGGGGGATAGGAACAGGATCACTACCTCCTTTCTCATCCTCCTCCTCAGTCTCATCTCAAGCCACTTTACGTTTTCCCCCGTGCTGCCTTTGGCGGCGCCAGTCTTAGGAGCAGCGGCTCCCGCTGGCTTGGGCTTGGGCAGGGCTTTGGGCGGGGGGGCTGACTTGGGCTTGGCCGCAGCTTTGGCCGCGGGCTTGCCCCTGCCCCTGCCCCTGCCCCTGCCCCTGCCCCTGCCCACAGGCGCAGGCTCCCCGTCGCTCTCGGCGTCGACATCCTTCGCAGGGTGTTATCGGGGCGCGTTGGAACTTGGCCCACGGATGTTTACTTGAAAAACTCAGGCGTACCCATGGATGTTTCAAAGCGATTGGTTCGAACAGGCGAAGACCTCAATGGACCCTCATTCGAACAGGTGAAGGCCTCATCCGGACGGGCCCCGATTCCACCCTACGAACGCTGTCCTTCCGACCCCGCTTGGCTGCAGGCGTTGCCAGGTGACTGCCAGCAGCCGCAGCCGATGCAGACATCTTGCCGATCAGGTCCTCCGCGTCGCCGTCGCCGATCGACTGGTCGGCGCGAATGCCGACGTCATGGCCAGGAGCAGCGCCAGGTACAGGCCCAGGAAAAGTGTTAGCTGCAGGAGGGGAATCTGCAATCGCCAGCGGCGAACTCGACGTCGGCGATGCCGACTGGGAGGCGGAGTCTGGACCACGCAGTTGCAGCGTTGCTGCACTCAGCGCCCCATGAGAGGGCTCGCGCTGCAGCGACTTGGGCCCGCACTCCAGGAGCTTCAGGGTCGCTTCCGTCGGGGGCTGAGGCTGGCCCTGGAAGCCGCCAAACAGAGGCATGCCACCTTGGCCACACATCATGCGGGCAATCATGGCAGCCATGGCCGTCATCATGTCGCCGAACTGCTGGTGCTGGTGTTGGTGTTGCTGGTGTCCGAACGAATAGCTCGGGCATGGCAAAGTGGCGGCCCGAAGGGACTTGTGGCTTTTCCTGTAGCCGAGGCTGTCCTCCATCATGTCCAGCACCTGCACGGTCATGTCGAGCGGCGGCTCCCCAGGCTCCTCAGCTCCGTAGGCGAACCTGAACACGTTTGGCGCAAGGCTCCGAGGGTCGTCGGGCAAGTGCTTCAAGTGCTGCGCAGGGTGCGTGGACGACACGTCCATGCGCTTGATGGTTGACTGCAGCTGTTGCATCCACTGCTTCTTGACCTGCGCCGATACATCTTCCTGCCCAGACTGTAAGCCCACCATCAGGATGATGCCGACGGCGCGTTTCAATAATGACGCCCCTGGGCACGTGATGCCGATCTTGTACATCCTGGCCCCAAGAACCTCGAGCTTAGAATACGCACTGCGCGTGTCGTCCTTCACGGCAGCCCAGTCAGAGTTTGCGAGGTAGAGGTGGAGCGCTTTGCAAGACTGCTGGTCACGAGCACGTTTCTGTGGCCGACTCCCTGCGTTCGCAATGCGGTCGCCCAGGACGGTGCACAAGGCCGCCTTCTGGGCAATGCTCCAAGGGCCACCGTTGATTTCCCCTGAAACAAGTGTGGCGACCTCCATCGTCAGACCCGATGCATTAGCGATAGATACTGAGATCGTTTGGGCCTGCGTCTCCATGAGCGAATCTCTGTCCATGCCACCAGCGGTGAGGTTTGCAACGAATTGACGCCTGCTCCTGATCTCCCCAATCAGGGCGTCGGCCACAGACTGAACAGCCATGGTGCACTTATGCGCGAGTGGATGCACGCTCAAAAAGGGCAGAAGCGATAGCGTATCGCAATGACCACTCAAGCACACACGGCTGCAGAAAAAAAAGGAGGAGGTGGTGGAGGCATGTCAGGAGGTGGACACGGGAGATGGCGGGGAGGATGTAGAGTAGGGGTGAGTGGACTAAGGGGAGGGGCATCGACGGCGTCGGCGCCACCGCATTGATGCAGTCGTCGAGCTCTAGCTAGCCACTCGAGGCGTAATCCAACCCCCTACGTGGGCTCACTACAATCATCTTCGGAAGGGCGGTCGGTCTACTGGGCGCACCCACCCACCATGCTTAGTCACATCGGCCTCACCGAACTCCGCCTCCCAAACTCTTCTGATTCATCATCAACATCATCCTCCATCTCTCAATTTTACTCCTCCATATCTTCTCATTTGGCCTCACACACCCTCCTCCTCAACCTCAAAACTCCCGCCTCGACGCGCTCGAACCGACATCCGCGACAGCGCCGACCTGCCCTGGAGGTTCGGGGGGTTCCGGCATAATTCGAGTGCTCACTCGCCCTGGCGAGCGAGCACTTTAGTGCTCACTCGATCTGGCGAGTGAGCACCTCTAAATGCACTGCATATGAGGTGCTCACTCGATCTGGGGAGTGAGCACTAAAGTGCTCACTCGCCCTGGCGAGTGAACACTCGTTCGTGATAGAACTACCTTTGGGGTCAAGTCATCTGTATCGCAGCATGGTGGCCAAGATTTCACCCGATGGGGTGCCGATATGCTGGGTTCTGAGCACTCTCATCAGGTGCCTGAGGATCGATCAACCTGCCTAAATTCCTTCACTCATCACCCGTGGCCGTCGTCATCGTTGCGCCGTCGTCACCGTGATCGGGTCGTCATCGCATCCCTCGCTTGCTTCCTCCGTCTCTTCATTGCCGTCACGTTCGTATGTTGTCGTACTTGGCCTCGTCGACGTCGTCATCGTCATATCGATCGCCACCCCACCATCCCTCTGACCCTGCACCGCGCGCGGCGGCAGTGGGGCGGCGCACCGTCGGGGGCGGGTGCAGAGAGAGGCTGCAGAGAGAGGCTGCAGAGAGAGGCTGCAGAGAGAGACTGCAGGGAGAGGCTGCTTGGGAGGTAGCGACGGAGCATAGAACGAACTCAGACTGGATCCATATGGATGGTGATGATTAGGCCGTCAACCAGGCACCCTGGGGTCACGAGTAGGAGTCCCACGAGGCCTATGTTTTACATCTCTCTCCTGAGCGCCATCAGCAGACCCTCTGTTGTTTGGATGACTTGCACATTTGTTGATGTATAGTGTTTGCTTGTGTGCTTTGTGTTTGGGGCTCGTGCGTGGCTCATTCGTTTATGTGTGCATTTCCGCTTGTCGTTTGTGCGGGCATGCTGCAATGACTGAGATAGTGTATTGTGCCGACGACGGTGTCGTTATCACTTGCGATGTTGATGGTGTTGTTGTCGGTTACAATGATGATGGTGATGGTGATGGTGATGGTGATGGACATGCTGAGGATGACAATGGAGGTGTGCGTCTGGAAAGCGGGTGCCAAGCACTATGCTTGGGTTGAATAGGGCAAGCAAATATCCGACGCCCGTCGCGCGCAGCAAATCACGCGCGCATAAATGTATGCACACCCCAACGCTATGCTGCAGACGGGCATGGCAAGATACTCAACACTCGAGCGGCGCCCCCCTAGCGCCGAGAGCAATGCAACTGCGCGGCTACAGTAACTACGCCGCCTGCTCAGGGTTCTCATTGTGCAGGGTCTGGAGCTGCCTCGCGAGGATATCCGAGCGATGCTGCATCTCCTGGTGGGTCCCCATCTTTACCTGCAGGGTCTTGTAGGTCAGCTTTTTGGTATCGGCATTCCAATAGGTCGTCCGCAATGACTTGCGGTATGGCATCCACCATACGTCAGGCTGGCTGACCTCGGGCTTGAAGTTCGCGCTCTGCTCATGGCGCGGCACTTTGCCCAGCAGCGCGATGTTTGTATCATTCAGCTCGATGACTAGCTTCGACCGCTCGCACGGTGCTGGTAAGACGTTGACCGAATGCTCCATCATATCAGCGTCCATGACACTGATCGCCACGTAGCCTATGGGAGGCGGTGGACAACATCTGCAACCACTCTGCGAGTTCGAGGAGGTTTGGGTCAGGAGCTGGCTGAGGTGGGAATGAGAATGGCTACCCGCGCAAAGTGGCCTTCGATGCTGTCCACCATCTCCTTCTTTGCCCTCTTGGCAGGAGGAGTTAGCGAAGTAGGGCTCGCGCTGGAGGGGTCATCCTTCTCCACCTGCGCCCCCCCCTTATCGCCGCTCATGAGGTCCAACATCAGCTCCTCACACTTCCGGCAGCGCAGCGCCTGCAACTTAGACAGCATGCGGAAATCTTTCTTGACGACCTTGGCGAACGCAGGCACCAATCTGTCGCACTCGACCCACAGTTTCCCGTGCTTCTCGAGCACTTTGGTTACCCACGAGTTCGAGACTTTCGGGCGCTGCTCCACAGAGACCATGCAGTAGCCGAGGTCAATTGAGATGCTGCCAGACATCGCCGATCGCTGACCTCAGACTGCGTACAGTCTTGGGCAGTGTGAAGGCGAACTGAGTGCTGAGCCCAAACGGCTATGGCATGACGGGGTAATGATGACATATGATGGCGTGGTGGTTGTGATGTTGGTGTCCGTTTCGTTATTGTTGGCATCGTTTCTGTTATTGATTGCAGTGTTGCCGATTTTGTGGTCGCCCGTCGTTGTCTTATGAGAGTGACGTTTCTTTTGATTTTGAGACGGGATGCCGCTACTGCAGTTTGTTGTTGTTGTTGTTTGTTGTGGTCTTGTGAAAGTGCTACCGTGTCTTACGTCCTCTATCTCGCTGTGTTTCTCATTATCCTATTATTGCTCCTCCTCCTCCTCGTCCTAGTCGTCCTCATCCCCCTCCTCCTCCTCCTCCTCCACCTCCGTTTCCTCCTGCTCCTCCTCCTCCTCCTCCTCCTCCTCCTCTCCTCCTCCTTATTTTCCTCGTCATCCTCCTCCTCCCACTCACTCCTCACCCAATCGACTCTTGTTTTCGATTGCAATCGCCCCGAACGTTATCGCTCTGCTCGGGACGTCAAACCTCTTATGCAATGCACCAATGGGCTGCGACAGCAACGCAGCAAAGCGGAAATGCCAAGCGCAAACCGCACGGCACCACCGCAACTCCAGCAAACAAAACAAACTTATTATTTCTTGTGGTGCTTGGTCGGGGAGGACGCCGAGCTCGCGAGCTTCCTCTTAGGGGGGGACAGCGCGAGACTCCGCGCATCGGCCTTAATGAGCTTATCACCCTTCTTGACAGGGTGCGTCTTATTGAACAGCATTGGCAGGCCAACCTCCACACGACTCTTCTTGCCAACATCGGCAAGGATGTTGACTTCGATTTTCAGCACCCCTGGCTGCAAATTAAACTACTGGCCAGCAGGAGCAACCCAATACGCAACAGGCAAAGAACCTTTCTTCGAGCCCTCCTGCTTCGTAAACGAAATGCATGGCGACAGATAAGCCACGTACAGCTCTGGGAGAGGCGGCGGCTGTGGCACAACCACTGCATTGGTTGGTACCTTGCTTGCCTGACAAATCCCGATGCTGTGAGTTAGCGGAACGAGCACGAGCTCGATCTTACCAAAATCTTTCTGGGCAACGATGTCCCTAAGCTCAAACTTACCCTCATTTACATATACAATGCTGATGTCAACAACAGGCTTGTACACAGAGAAAGCGTGGCAAAGCGCCTCGCGGATGGTGCTCTTGGCGAGCCCGATCCGCAGGTCGTGGTTATCCTGGGGTGCTGGCTTTTTTCGGGCATCCGTCATCTTCCTGTTATCCTCCTTGCCCTCCTCTTCTCCTTGCTCGTATCCTGATGTTTTTCGTCCCACTCACACCTGAACCATTACCATCCTTATCCCAGTTGTACTCGTACCCTCGTCCTCTTTCATCCCCCCTCCTCGATCCTCGCCTCCCCTCCGCTCCTCATCCTCAATTTCACCTTCCATCGCCTGCTTATCTCTTCCTCATCGTCGTCCTTCTCCTCCTCCTCCTCCTCCTCCTCCTCCTCCTCCTCCTCCTCCTCCTCCTCCTCCTCCTCCCCCCCCTCCCCTGGGGCGGTCCATGAAGTCGAAGAGCTTGCACTTCACGATGTTGTATTGCACGACCTTCACAGCCTTGGGGAGGGGGGCGAGGGCTGGGTCGTCGTCTTCGTCACCTCCTTGCTGGTGCTCCTCTGCCCCTCACGCTCCAACTTGTTTTCCCAAGGGCCTGGCCCCCCAACAAAAACTTATCTCCTCTCCTCTCCTCCCGACGTCCTCTCACCTCCATCTACTCCCCACATATCCGTCGCTATAGTTTGGTTCAGCCTTGTAGTCGTCGAGGAGCACGCCGCTATGCACGGTCAACGTCTCCTCGTCGGCGGCCTGCTTGCTTTTCTTGCCCTTGCCCTTGCCCTTCCCGCAAGGCTTCGACGCCACGTGGTCCATCGCGTACGTGTTGAGGAGAACAACATCAGCACCTTTGAACTCCTTGATGATCCACTTCTTCGGCTTGGCCGCAGTGGCGTTCTCGGTGTCGATCTTCTTGAGCTCGACCTCAGCCTTCAAGACAAAGCCATGCTGCTTCAGCGTCTCCTGGGAAACTCCACCGTGAGGTCCAAAGCACACCATCTGCTGACTGGTGGCGCCGCAAGCCGACGATGGTGCGACGTTGATCTTGACGGGGCACTCGGCGTTGAAGCTCGGCGGCGCAGCATTCTTCACCTCGGCCCACCACTCGGCCGCGATCTCCTCCAGGCTGCTGAAGACGCGCCTGCGCGGAGCCTTCTTGTTCATGATGAACATGGCAGCCCGTACCTCCATGTCGCCGCAGATCTTGACGTACGCGTGGTGCTCCATCAGCGCGTCCGTGTGATCGTGGTAGAGCTTCTTGGCCTTCCTGACCATGTCGCATAGCTGGATTGCCTGCGCCCTCTTCTTGTTGATGACCGTTGCGACGTCGGTGCTCGTAATCAACGTCGATATGCCCATGCGCTGGTGGTTCTCTGGCGAGACATAGGCCGCTTTCAGCATGGCAACAATCATTTCGGGCCCGCTCGAAAACTCTGCCTCGCCAAGTACCCTGAAAGTGTTGCCACTCACGTCACAGCGGCTCCTGAGCTGCTTGCTCCACAGGTCCAGCTCCTCCAAGAAGATGCCCTTGTCGCCTCCGCCCGAGTACCTGTGAACGAACTTGGTCATGTCGAGCACTTGCTTCTCAAGGTGGGGGCTGGAAGCCTCGATGCGCTGGGCGACAGCTGGCCAGTTGTAGCCACCCCCCATATCGAAATTGAGCTTGCCGCGAGAGAAGATCTGCCGCAATGTTTGGAGCTTCGTTTGGACCCTGTCTGTGTTGTGACCAGCATTGCCACATTCTGATAGATATCGCGGCAAACCTGGCACCGCTGCCTCCACTTCCTTGCGAATGATTAGCCACTCCAGCCCATGCTCAAGCACATCGGCCTGACTGGCATTGATGGCAATTACCTGGGTGTCAAATCCAATAGGACGCTCACCAAAAACAATTCACTCCACCAACTTATTCATCCACTCCTCTTCCCCCTCCTCCTCCTCTTCCTCCTCCTCCTCGTTGTCCTCCTCCTCCTCCTCCTTCTCCATCCTCCCTCACAGTTCTGTCGATATCCGTTGCCAGTTTGGGTCAAGCCTTCGGGGTCGGGTGGATTCCTGGATTGGTGGAGTGAGTTATGATGGGGAATGTCCCATTGGATTTGCACGGTTTGCCTTTTCCTTGGAAAGGCGTCCGTTCGCGCACATGGAGTTCAGGAAACTGCGACACCCATAGTTGACAGCTCGGTACCACTGCAGAGAATGCGAGCATGAAATCGTTGCGAACTTCAGGTCTTCCTTGATGACGGGAGCAAGTTGCCCTCCCGAGCTGTCAACCAAGCGCTTGTTAAAATTGAATTGCTCATCCGACGTCGTGTCCACCTCGAACGCGATTGGGTCGTCGACCCTGCTCCACACAAACCCTTGTTCGCAGATCCGCTTCCCCAACGTGTGAACCTCGTACGGGTCCACCCCCTGGCCGTGCCTGTTGCAGCTGTGTGTCCCCCCTCTCTCTGACCGAATGCGCTCACGAAATGCCAACCCATTCTCAATCAAAAGCTTCGCGCACTCTACGGACCTGGCTTTGAGCTGCAACGATTTCTGGTCTCTGTCCAACGATGTCAAATCCATTTTTTCGAATTCGGCAACCTCTTCCTTCAATGTAGCTGCCACGGCAGGAAGGCGTGCCATGAAATCTATCTGCGTGGTCATGCCGATTGCAACTCTGAGACAGGAGGGCTGAAGTTCTGGAATCGCAAACTCAATGTTGGGAATCGTCCTCGAAGCTGTTTGAGCCACAATGGTTGCAGCCCGAAACGGCCCATGGGAATCTGTGTTTCTGCTGCGGCGGATCAGAAACTGCACATCGATAAACGCATTATCATGGTTGCTATCTTGGATTGCCAACCTCGGTAACCTGGATAGCTATCTTGCTTATGAAGCTTTGTAAATAGATTGCGCCTGGTTGCCAAATGGTTTGCTATTTGGCCTAAACGGATAGCCAGGATAGCGTAACTTGATTGGCAGTCGACCTAAACTGAATGGTATTTGGTGCGATCTGAGAACTTGAATACGTATACACCCTAACTACATAGCTCAACTACTATCTCAGATCACCATTTATAGCAAGTTATAATAAGTTGTGAGTAGGTTATAACATAAGATATAAGAAGATATAACCAGCCAAGGGGGATAGGAACGGCAGCGCCGATCCAAGCAGGGAGTTGCACCTGCTGCGTCAGTGGGCGTGCTCCGGAGGGTGCATCCAGATTATTCGGCACACCCTTCACGCGGACCGTGACCACAACAAGGAGTTCAGCGCGCCTGCGCACGCCCCCTATCCGCATTGCCCCGCGGCGCGCAGTATATGAAGAGAGGGCCGCGCCCTGCGCTACGCGTGACTGCAGAAGGTTGCGCCCTTCACCAGGCTACTTGTTTATCTACGGGCCTTCGGCTCATACTGCCACCGTGCCTGGGTTGTGGGTCAGAGGCTTCTGGGATACCTGTCTGGGGTCTCTTGGCATGCTTCTCGGGCGCCTCTGGGAGCCACTTGTGAAGCCTCTAGCGGGCCTCTTGGGAGCTGTTTGGGGCCTCTTGGGGCTTCTGTTAGGCCTCTTGGGGGTCTCTTGGGGGCCTGCTGGCGGTTTGGGGGGTCGACTTGGGGCGGGGGCTCGGAATGTGAGGTGGAGTTCCCCCCCCTCTGGCCCACCTCAGGCCGTCAGGGGCGCCTCTTGGACCGTCTTGGGGCTCTCTTGGGCCGTCTTAGGGCTCTATTGGGGGCCTCTTGGACCGTCTTGGGGCGATCTTGGGGGCCTCTTGGGCCGTCTTGGACGCTGTTGTGCGCTGTTCAGGCCAAAGAAGCGAGTATGCTGAAAATGTATAGTTTCCGAAGAGAATGGGGCAATTCGGAGCATCTGGGGCGCTCTTGGGGAGCA